GCCCCCGCGGACCGTCGGCCAACTTCTGGCGCCGGCCGCCGGTGAGGAGGCCGCGGCTTGCGTTCGTCGAGGCGACCCCGCCCTGCGCTGAAAAGGGCGCGCGGGACAGCCGCGGGGCAGCCGCGGATCAGCCGAAACAAAGCGGGCTCTTGGGCGGCATCGCCGCGGGACGCCGCGACATAGCCGCAGCAGCACGACTGAGGACGGCTGCGCAGCTGCAGCACTGCTGTAGCACAGCGACGGGGTAGCATGTCGGCGACACAGGGACGATCTTCCACGAAGGGGATATCCATAGGAACTACATCCTTGACAGGAACAGACACGGTCACGGACCTGGCGGACACAGAAAAGGAAATCAACGTGGAGGGCGAACGACAAGAGAGCGCCGAGACGGCACAATATGCACACGCAAGTCCGGGCATATATAACTCGGCGTGAAACGGCAGGTGCATGTGCAATTGAATGCATGCCCTGGTTGTTGAACAGGTGTAGGAAATTCCGGGGCATGTGATCTCTTACAAACATCAGTAAGAACAGGCGTCGGTAGGTCGAAACGGCGAGACACACATGGCCAATAATTGGAGGGCAGTGTGGAAACGCAAGCGCGCGCGAGAAAACGCGCGCAACTGAACACGCACACACGAGAACGCGTGCGTGAATACAATGGCGCGCGCATGAACTTTCACTGGAAGCGATCGGCGTGAATGGACTCAGGGAATCGTTTTGCCCCCCCATGCGTCGCCCTCTTCCTAAAACCATGGGTCTGAAGCTCTTCCCCCGCGATGGGCTAGAGCGCCTAAGATGGCCCAAAATGGCTCCGCGACGGCCCCAGAAAGCCCATGATGACCTCAAATATGACTCATGAGCACCCAACGTCGTTCAAGATACCTTCCAATTTGCCTCCGAGATGTCCCGCGGCCGCCCCAAGGCGGCTCCAAGTGGCCACGGCGCTCCCCCAGGAGGCCCCCGGGAAGCCCAACTCCATTAATGACAATACTATGAACAAGTTGGCGTCGCCTTCTCGTTGTTCCGAGCAGTGTCCGCAGGCAGCAATGCAACTATAATGATGATACCGACTGTGCGGGGCCGGACGGAGTGCCGCGTGCCGCTGGTATTGGCGACCGAAAACACATGTTCAAGTGTAATATGACAGCGCCAGACTGCGCCGGGACAGCCGCGGGACAGCCACGGGACAGCCGCGGGACAGCCACGGGACAGCCGCGGGACAGCCGCGGGACAGCCGCGGGACAGCCGCGGGACAGCCGAAGCAAAGCGGGCCGTCGGGCAATAAAGCTGCGGCCCGGGCCAGTAAAGCCGCGGCCCGCCGCGGGACAGCCGCGGGACACCCGCGGGACAGCCGCGGGACATCCGCGGGACAGCCGCGGGACAGCCGCGGGACAGCCGAGGCGCAGGCGAGGCAAACATGAGGCCAAAATGCTATGGGAGCACTGGGAATGGCCTTCAATCGAGTTGTCTGGCATTGATTATCCATGGTTCGGATGACGAGGAAGGGAGCGAAGGAGGTAGGAGGGGGGCGAAGGAGGGAAGAGGGAGGAGGGAGGAGCGAGGAGGGAGGGAGGAGGGAGGATGAGGGAGGAACGAGGAGGGAGGGGCGAGAAGGGAGGACCAAGGAGGGATGAAGGGTGGAGGAGCCATGGCAAAGAAACGAATGAGTGAACCCGACGTCGGGGTCACATAAGCCCCCGCCATCAAAGTGCATATTGGGGCTGGCCTTGTGGAAGGTGATTGCCGTGGGAGGGAGTCCAAGGGCGCGGGATGAGCGGGAAGGTTTTTTGCTGATGATTTCTATGTGCTTGTATTGCAATAAAACGGACTGTCATTTTCCCGCACAACCAAAATAGCAACAAACGAACGGGGGAAAGGCGCGCGCCACCTGCATCTTACGGGCGATCCCGCTGGACGCCCGTGAGCGCGAAAACCGCGAAGAGACCCGGACCGACGAAAAGCGCGAGAGACCCCTAAAACTTGCAAGATCTTGCAGTGCCCACCCAATCGGCCAGGGCAGACGAAGGCGCCCGTGCGGGGCGCGCGCATCATCACAGCGACAACAAAAAACACGCCATGTCCTGAAGCTCGCAGAACGCATCATGGAGCGATGGCGCACGCACAGATCCGCAGTCGAATCGGGTTGAAGCTCGCACGGGCTGCGCTAGAGCAGACCGGCGCGCCCGACACTCAAACGCGCCGAAGCTCTAGCTACTCGCGCACGAAGAAAAGCTGCTCGCTCAATGAAAAAAGCCACGCTCGCAGGAAAGCTGCTCGCCCACAGAGCACGGCTACATTTCGGCTTTTCTTGGGCGGAATTATGCGAAGGGGGGGGTCAGTTTAAGCCGCGGCCTCCTCAGCCGCCGGGCTGTGCCAGAAGTCGGTCCAGGACTGACTTCTGGCGCGGGCCCGCGTCGGAAGTCGGTCCTGGACCCACTTCCGACGCGGGCCCGCGTCGGAAGTCGGTCCAGGACTGACTTCTGGCGCGGGCCCGCGTCGGAAGTCGGTCCAGGACCGACTTCCGGCGCGCCCTTCTGTCTCCGCCCCAACCCTCGTCGGCGCCGTCGCCGGCGTTGCCCCTGCCGCCCTCTAGCGTTTTCAAGCCTCGGCGGGGGCCGCGCCCCCCCTCGCGCGCCCTCCTTCCTCCTCACTGCCCCCTCCCCCAGTTTTCCTCCTCGCCCCCCTCCTCGCCCCATTCCCCCCTTCCCCCGCGTCCCCATCCACCGCCTAATTGTATTCCTCCTGCTCCTGCTCCTGCTCCTGCTCCTCCTTCCCTCTCCTATCTGCCGCGCCTGCGGCGTTCGGGCACCGCGCAACATATGTTTGTTTCGTTTTCTGGCGCCCGCGCCATGCCTGCCAAGATGAAGGCGGCTGCCACGACGCGCGCGTCGACGATGACGAACGTGGATGGCGCCAGCGTGCCGCGGCAGAAGGCACAGATAACGAAGGCGGCCAGGGGCACCCCCCCACCGCCCAGGAAACGCTCGTCTTGAAGAACGCCCCAGGACGGCGGGGCCACAACGCCCCCACACACCGCAAGGGCATTGGATGAGGAATGCGGCGCGTCGCGTCCTCTTCCGAAGGTAACATCGCCCATCGGCGCGAAACCCTGGATTTGTTAGCGTGCCAGACGCTACGCAACGCAATTGCTACAGCAAGCGCCCCCCCCCCCCGCCTTCATGTTTCCACCGCCCCCGCGGCGAAGTACTGCAAAATCGTACGCCGAATTTGTCGTAGATTTTTTTTTGCTTCCCCAGGTTCAACGCCGTTCCTGTCCAGGCCGGGCGTGGCCGCCTTCGTGGACAGGTGCGAGAAGCGCGGCATCAAGCGGATCGTGGTGCCCGACGAGAAGCGGTTGGCCCGCCGCTTGATGGTGCAGGAAGAGGCGATCGCGGAGTGCGAAAAGCGAGGTTTGGAGTTGGTGCACGCCTCGATCCCGGGGCTGTTCACCGACAAGGACCCATGCACAGTTCTCCAGAGACACATGGCCGGGGCCATTTCTCAAATGGAGTGCCAGGTGGCCGTGGGCAACATGAAACACGGGCGCGACCGAGCACGCAAAACAAGCAGGGAGGTCTCGCTGGCGAACGAGCGGCAGTGCGAGGGCAGGAAGAACTTCCTGCAGCTGCAACCGCGGTTTGTCCAGATATCCAGATGCCTGCGGCGCGCACCGCCAATGCCAAAGCAGCTGCCCCCCCCCCGGTCGTCCATAATCATTATAGTCACCACGGTTTTTCTTTGACGCAGTGCCAGGGCCACGCGCGCCTAGACGCACGCCTGTTGCAGTTGCTCCTGCTCATGGTCCTCCTCCTTTGACGGGCCACGAGTCTCCCCAAATCGTCCCCTTGTTGCATATGCAGTTACCGCAGACATGTGTAATCGATCCCGCATCGTACCATATCTTCTCACTCCGCATCCTGCGGCGCAAGTTTGAGCAAAGTTTCTCGTCATTCGGCCGCCCAGGGCGGCGACCGCAGAGCGGGGAGGGAAAATAACGAATTACCCAACACACACACCGATGGACTGCACAGGCGCGTGCTGCAGTAGTTTCGCGGAGCTGCTAGGCTTACGACGCTGATTCTAAGCATATGGCCTAGGGGTGTTGTGGCATGGATTTTGATGGAAATCTCGGCATGGTGTTTTGACGGGCCTGGTTTCGGCCCTCGGGAAGCGCCATGGCCAGCGCCAAAGTCTCTGGCACACGTCATGGGAAGAGAACGGGCTGAACCCGCATTCCCGCGGCGCGGTGTCGCGCGCGCTACTCGCGCGGCGCGCCCTTCAGGGTGCGCTAAGCGCGGCCGCCATCGTGGCCGCTCGAGTTGTATAGTGGCCACCGTAGGGCGTACTTAAATTCGTTTCGGCGCTGAGCTCTAAAAAAATCCTCATCATCCTCTCGTCTCCTCCTCTAATGCCCCCTCCTCTCGCCCCCTCCTCTCCGTCTGCCTCCCTCTCTCCGCCCCTTCCCCCCCCCTCTTCGTTGCTTTCGCCTCCCCCCTCCTCCTCGCTCGTTTTCCCTTGCCCTCCTCGCCCTACCCCTCTGCCCCCTCTCCCATTTCCCCCCGCAGGGGGCGGCTGACGTGGGCGGAGCCGTCGGCGATGGCGTCGCCGATGGCGTCGGCGACGGCGACGGCGTCGGCGAAGGCGAGGGCGGGCGAGGGGAGAGGAGGAGGAGAAGGGCCTGCCGTCTGCATGGCCCTCCTCCTCCTCTGCCGTTCCCTCCCCCCTCCCTCCCCCGTTCTGCTTCCTCTCCCTCCTCTCCTCCCCTCCCCCATCGCCTCGCCTCCCCTCCCCCTCCTCCCCTCCCCTCCCCTCCTCCCTCCTGTCTCCCGCCCTCCTCCTTTTTCCCCCTTCAGGCTCCTCCCCCTCCTCTCCCTCCGCCCATCCCTTTGCCCCGCCCTCCTCCCGTCCCCCCTCCGGCCCTCTCTCGCGGACACGTTTTTCCATCCTCCATTTCTCTCCGTCTGAAACTCGCCTGGAGGATGGGCCCCTCAACTTCAGCCCCTCATGTACTCGACGATCTCCTGCTGCATCGCGCGGTGCAGCTGGTTCTGCTGGACCCCGTGCTCGGGGAACAAGTCCAAGACGTTCGTCATCGCCATGGTCTTCGCTGCCTTGTCGCTGTCCGCGTGCTCCCTGATGGCCTGGGCGGTGCAAGCCTCCATGCGCACAGTGTTCGCCAGGGCGATCGTCTTCTCCATATCTTCGATGGCCGTGGTGGCGGGGTCCATCCCGTAAGAGTTGAGTGCGTCCTTCACGCTCTGGATTGCCTTCTTCATGCTGTCGGTGTTCGATGCGACCTTGGACGCCAGGCCTTTTGTCGAGAACACCGTCTTCCTCAGAGCCGCCTCCACGTCGGGCCATGGGGCCTCGGGGTCGACCTTTGCCTTCCAGCCCTTCTCGGAGTCGCCAAAGCTGACGATGCTCAAAAGCTTGGTCTGGACGGCCTTGGCCTCCTCGACGATCGCGTCGACGTCGGCCTTCTCGTAGGCGGCCAGGGCCCTCGAAGCTGACTCGAGGAGGAACTCGAACTTATCCTTGATCTGCGCGATGCTGATGAGGTTGCCCTTTGGGGCACCAGTCTGGTCTGGCATGCGCTCCACCTTCTCGCTTGCGTTGCCGACGCAATTCTTCAGGAGGTTGTAGGCAACGGACCCCTCCTGATTCGCGAGCTGCTCTGCTGGCCCCCCCATGTTCCAAAACTCCTGCAGGGAAAACGTCACCTTCATGACCGAATCCAGGAGGTTCAAGCTGCGATCGATGCTGCTGATGCTTTGCTGCTGGTCGTCGCCGTCCACGAGGTCGCACAGCTTCGAAGCTACATTGATCATCGTCTGGACCTCCTCCACGTTCAGACTCTTCACCTCGGCCGTCGTGCCCATCTGGATGTTATTGCAGGCGTCTGAGGCGATGGCGTCCACACCGCCGAAGATGATCATGACGTGCTCTGGGTTGTGAAACCTGTACCTGTCCGCCTCCTTAAGTGAATCAATGACGGGCTTCATCGCACTGGAAATGTCCGTGGCATTCTTAACGTTCGACACAGCCGTCAACAGCTTGCTCGATGACACGGTCCTGCTGACGCGGGCCTGCATTTCACGGATCCTCTCGATGAAGCGTTGCACCTGCTGCGCGAAGATCTTGACGATCCCCTCATGGGCCTGGCCTTTCTCGAAGCAGGCGTCGAGGCGCAACAGATCTTTCAGGAACGAGTTGAAGTCGTCCATGTGTTTCGCGTTCTCGGTATCATCTGCGAGGTCTGCCGTGTCCAGGTACCTGCCGCAAGCTGCGCAAAAATCATGCAAAGCGTCGGTCGGGGTATCCGACCTGCACACAGTGAACCACTTCAACAGATAATCGACTGCAGTAGAGAACACCTTGACATCGGATACTCCTGCCTGCAGAACACTCCTTGTGTTAGCTATGTTGTCCTTCTCCTGCAGGTCCCCTTGGGATGCACGGCGCCATTCGCTCTTCTCAAACTTCCAGTAGTCGTTTTGGTCCAATGCGCGGGCGAAGCATGCCCACTCCTTGTCGCAGTCGCCGTGGAGCATCTGGCGGAACTTGGTCTTGTCAACCTCGATCGCGCCAGGGGCCTCGGCAGAGTGCTCTGAGATCGTGTCGATGATGACCAAGCAAACCTGGAAATTCTCGTAGAACTCTTTCAGACCATCAATGGACGTGCCCGCCGCTTTTTTAACCTCATCCTTCAAAATGGGGCGGAGCTCCCTGGCAACATCCAGTTCCTGATTGCCAGCCGAGATGATCGGGAGCAGCAAGTAGTTCAAAGCGTGGTCCCTCGCATGGGTCATGATCACGGAGGCTTTGTCTTCAATTGCCGATAGCTTAGGGCGGATCGGGTCGAACTTGCAATCGTCGTCTGCGTGAGGGTTGATAATGTCCCACACGTCATGCAACTCGGCGTCCACGAGGGTCTCGGAAACCAGAGCCCTGCACCACTTCGGGCACTTCTGAAAGTCCACGCTGCTTTTCTTGAGCTCCATTAGGTTCTGCCTGAAGATATCTTTCTTGCCGCGAAAGGCGTGTAGGTTGCTGGCAGCCATTTGTGAAGCTACCTCGATGAGTTCTAGCAAGGACTTCTTCCGATCCACGGCAATGGCCATTTTTGGAGAGAACCGCCTGACTGCATACTCCCGATCGCCGAGCCTGTACCCATCCAACATCGATGGGATGTCGCACTCCTTCTCCAGCTGTCTGATCCTGTCCATGTCGTCACCGCTGGTTGCCTTGCCGAGCTTCGACGCGCTGTCGGGGTCGCCAGCAGTGCTGGCGGCACCGCGGGCTGCACGGCCCAATGCCGACATCCTCCCCGTGCTGAGGCGACTCCGAGCCGAGCGACTCCGAGCCGAGCGACGCGATGGAGCTGGTGACGGGGCGAGACTTTTCGCTCGCCAATCCGCCTGGCTGGCGGCGCGGCCTGCGCCCTTGGCCTCGTCGTTGGCGGCATCGGCGCTGCCGCCGGGAGCCCCACGATCATCACCAAGCGTGAGCTTGCTGGCGGAGTCGTCGGGCCAGGGCGGCGGTGGACTGCCCGCTGGAGCACCGCGCCCATCTTCTGGAACGGGGGGGCTCGCTGGGGGCTGGCCCGCTGGACGGGGGCCTGGAGCCGAGCGGTGCCGAAGTCCACCTGATCCGTCGGACTTGATCCTGGCCTCGAACGAGATGCTCTCGATTGTCGGGGTGGGGTTCCTCCCACGGACGCACGTGGGCATTTTGCCTTTGAGTGTGCTGAGCTCCTCCTTGAACACTTTTTTCCCTTGTTCTTTCACGAGGTGGCGATCCGATGAGAGAGCTCGGGTCCGCTGCTCGACGATGTGCTCGTCGATCCTGTCCACGCCGACGAAAGGAATATCTGGGTTAACCGTCACGTAACCCTGCACGGAGGCGCCCGATGGGGAACTTGATGCTGGAAATCTTGAGGTCGAGATCTTTCGGCTCGACGTCGGTCGGCATGGACGTGGCATCGCGAAGGCTGTCCTCGTTCCAAACTCGAAAGTGGCTACACATCCTGAAGCCGCTCCTGTTGACGATGTCGACGGTTTCCTCGGCGAAGGTTTTTTGACGGGAGTCCTCTGAACACTTGCAGCACCTCTCGAACTGCTCGTCGAGGTTCTTGTCCTGGTTGAGCTGGTTGCAGAATTTGGGCCAACTTGGGTGCTTCTCCTTCCAGGCCCACGCGCCGCTCGCACGCGGCAACCGATCCATCAGGGAACCGATCCTGGGCCGTCTCCTTGGCGGTGCAGCTTGCTCGGCCGCAGTCGCGAAGCCTGCCCGTCGACTTCACCCTCGGCTTCGGATCGCTCTTCAGGGCCTTGGGATTACGGCCACGGCCCCGACCAGGCTCCTTCTCGCTCGCGGAGGCCTGGCTGTTGGAACGACGGGAGCCGTCGTCGTCGCTCTCCACGGCGGCAGCCGCAACGCCACTCGACCTGCCGCGCTTGGAGCCCGTGGCCTTCGCCGTCGACATCACACCGTGCAGCGCAAGTCCAAGCAGAAAAAAGAGGTGTGGTGTAGGATGCCTTGGTAGTAGTAGGACTGGAGTTTGAGAAGCTTGGGCCTGAATGATCAAGGAAATAAGCGTGAGACATTCGGAACGTATCACTGCGGAACAACTGCGATTATCTTCGCCAATCGGGCCCCCTCCATGGCGATTATCTTCGCGACTATCTTTGAAATTATCCTAGCGATTCACTTCGCGCTCACCTTCGCCACCAAGCGTTTCCAAGAGGTCTCATTCTTGCCTGAGGCGTTTTTATATAGGCGTTTCTCTGTCCTCGTCCACCCCCTGCCTCCCCACCCTACCTTCCCGTCACTTGCCTCTCCCTTCCCCCTCCGCTGTCTTGTTTTTTGAAGTTTATTGCCCACCCCTCCCCCCTTGGCAGACGAGTAGAAGTGATGTTACATTGAAAGCCCTTTGCAAACGTATTCGGAGCCTCGGCCAATGCAATAACTTGCTGCGAATCCCACCCGCCAAGATCGCCGACTGGCGTGGCGGCGGCCTTCTCTCACCACAAACGACGGAACCCTGCAAAACGCCTGGCGGCCCCTGGGAACACGGCCCCCCCTGGGTGGCCCGGCCTCCCGCGACCGCGGGGCGGGGACTCGGACAGCCCGCCGAGCAGGCAAGGCAACCGGTATGACTGAATCTGAAGATGCGCCGTGACACTGCTGGAAGAATGCACATACATGTCCGAATACAGTGCGCACGTGTGTTCGTGTGATTGCACGGTGGTCTGGCATGACTAAGACGTTGATTGTTGCTTTGATGTGTTTTTGTTATTTGCAAGGATGCGCGCGCGTGGATTGGTTAATGTGTGTTTGTTCTTTGTGGATGAGTGTACGTGTACACCTGAGAGAGCCCCCCTTGAGTACTTTAGCCCCCTTGTGCTTGAGCCCCCTTCTCGGCTGAGGCCTGAAATTTTCGGGTTGGTGGCTTAAGGCATCGGGCTCGGGGCTCGGGGACCAAGGCGTAAGAAAAGGTGCTTAGGGCTGCGGGCTTCGGGTTACTGGCCTAGGGCCAGGGGCTTGGGGCATCAGGCTCCGTGTGCTGGGTGCTCAAGGCTCAAGGCTTAGCTTAGCCCAGAATGCATAGGGCTCAATACTTAAACCGATGGGCTTCGGGCTGGGATCCTCTGGCTAAGGACCCTGGGCAATCGGCTTGGGGCCGACGGCCCAGGAATGACGGCGTGCCGCTGGGGAGGGGGGGTGGGTCAGGGATCAGGGCTTACGGCTTAGGGCGCAGGGTTGAGGACGGGCCTTCGGGCTAAGGGTTGCAAGCGGAGGGCCTAAGGACCAGGGCTCTGAGCTTAGGGCCTACGGCTTGGGGAGTTGGGCTCAGGGCTCAGGGCCAATGGCTCAGGGCTCAGGGCTCATCGGGCAATGCATCGGGCTTCGGGTGATGGCTCAAGAGGGCCTAGGACTGAGGGCTTCGGCCTTAGGGTTTGGGGCTTCGGGCCTAAGGCTCAGAGCTCACGACATATAGGTTTTGGCTTAAGGCTTGGGGCTCAAGGCATAGGGCATGCGCATCGGGCACATGGCCTATGGTTTAGGGCTCGGGACGCAAGGCCGAGGGCGAAAAGCCCAGGGCTTGGGGCTCAGTGCTCAGAGCGAGGGGCGGCTGGCGCATGGCTTAAGCCTAAGGGGCCAATCATGAATGTCACTGGCCTGCTGATTAGGCTTTACGGCCTGAGGCGCAGGGAACTGGGGGGCTGGCGCCGCGGGCTTCGAGCAAGCGGCTCGGCGCGTAAGGCTTCAGCCTTCGGGCTCCGAACTTCGGGCCCAGGGCCTAGCTCATCTGGCGCGGGGCTTGCGGCTTCGAACTTCGGGCTGCAGGTTTTGGGGATCGGGCTCAGGGATTAGGACTCAGGGCCCGCGGTCGAAGACTGTAAGGTTCGGGTGTCGGGCTTTGGGCCCGAGAGCATGGGCCAGAGGGCAAAGGACTGCGGGCGCGTAGCCCAGAGCTCCAGGCCCAACGCATGGGGCAACGTGGCTCTGCCTTGCGGCTTAGGGCATAAGACATCGGGCAGAGGGGGTCAATGCCAACGGCTTGAGGCTCAAGGCGCAAGGCTAAAGCTTAGGCCTTCGGGCTTCGGGCTCAGGTTTCGGGACCAAGGGCTGACGGCGATGGGGCTTGGAGTCCAGGTCACAAGGCTGGCGGCAAGTGGCTTCGGCCTCAGAGCGTAGGGCCGACGGTCTAGGGCATAGGACCTACGGCTGAGGGTCTACGGCTTCGTATTTAAGGCACCAGAGCCATGGCTCAGGGCCCGAAGCTAAGGACGTGCGGCTTAGGGCTGCGAGCTCAGGGCTACGGGCCTCGGGCTCAGGGCTCAGCGTTCAGGGCTCAGGGCCTTCGGCCCAGGGCCCCAGGCTCAAGGGGCAAACGTCAATGCTGAGGGACGATGGCGCGCGGCTGAAAGCATCGGGCAACGGCCAGGGGGGGGGGGGGGTCGAACGCTGGCGGTGTGGTGGGGTGTGGCTTGGGGGCAGTGTTTGTACTTTAGAACGCGGGGGTTGGGGCATCATAGGTAAGGGCTCATTGCCCATTGTCAGCGCCCAGGGCGTAGAACACATTGTCCAGGGGCTAATGTTTCAGGCCAATGCCATCGGGCTTGCGCATTGTGCTTAACCATAATATACTAATCACTATGGTTCAGAGGCGCGGGCTCGGGATGCTTCGGGCGTTGGCCTGACAACGTAGCCTTAAACCGTTCACCCTCAGTCCCGTGCCCAGGGCACCAAGCCTTCAACTACGAGCCTGGCGCACTGTCCCTCATTTCCTCGGCCCTGAGCCCGTTGCCCTAAGCACAAAGACACAGGCCCAAAACAGTGGTCATTCCGCCCTGTGCCCAGAGCCCTGAGGGCTGCGCCCTCAGCCGCAAGCCCTAATCCGTAAGCCGCGGGCCCGATACCTCGAGTCCGAGGCGGTGCGCCCTGACCCCCAAGCCCTGAGCCCTAGACCTCAAGCCCGCCGCCCGAAGATATGCGCCGTACGCCCGAAGCCTTAAGCCCGATGTTCCCACTGCCCGATGTCCTAAACCCCACGCCCCGTTGCCCTAAGCCGTAAGCCCGAAACCCTTCGCCCAATGCAGTTGGTCCGATGTCTTAAGCCATAATGCTTCATTCCTCACACCTGGGCTCCAAGGCCACTGCCATGGGCTCGGAGAGCTCGGCCCTAAGCCCTGCGCCGCAAGCGCTTGGCCCTGAGACCTAATGCCGATGTCCTGAGCCATCGTCCCTCAGCCCATGCCATAAGCCCTGAGGCCAAAGCTCTGAGTCTGCCCTGAGGCTTCAGCCCTACGCAATATGCCACACGTCCACAGGAAAGCAAGCTTAATGTTCTGGGCTCAGCTGATCAGGCTTAGGGGGCGGGGCCCAAGGCTTCGGGCGTGAGCTCAAGGCTCCGGACCCAAGGCGCAAGGCGTAGGGCGCGAGGCAGTCGGCATGGTGACCAGGACTCAGGGCGCCAAGGTCGGTGCTTAGGGCTTCGGGGGGATGGCCTCGGGCTTAGCCCAGGTTCCTGAGTCCAGAGCCCCGAGCCCTGGGCAGTCATCCATCAGCCTTCAGGCGTATGCCCTGCACCTTTCGTCATGTGCCCAGACGCGATCGCCATGAGCCGCAAGCCCTTGGCCCTAAGCCCCACGCCCTATCCACTGAGCAGCTTGCAACGGGGACTGTGCGCGACACAAGTACTCCGTAAAGCAGTTGGTGTCGTCGATGAGGCCGTCGACGCTGCGTCGCCCATGCGTCGCGGCACCTGGTTGCAAGCCCTAAAGCCCCGAGCCCTACGTCCTCTGCCCTCGGCTCTGCGCCCTCAGGCTTGAGCCCGAAGCCCGACGCCCTCGCCCGAACTCGCTCGAGCCCTTTGCCCTGGGCCCGAAGCCGTTGGCCCTTAGCACTGAGCCCAATGGCTGGGCCCCTCCCGCTCCCCCCCCCCGCTCCCCCCCCCCGCTCCCACCCGCTCCCCCCTCCCCGCCCCCCCTCCCGCCCCCCCTCCCGATTCCCCCTCCCGCTCTCCCGCCTCCCCTTCTGCTCCCCTCCCGCTCCCCACTCCCGCTCCCCCTCCCGCTCCCCCCTCCGCCCCCCCTCCCCGCTCTCCCTCCCGCCCCCCCCTCCCGCCCCCCCTCCCGCCCCCCCTCCCGCTTCCCCTCCCCGCTCCCCCTCTCCCGCCCCATATCCCGCCCCCCCTCTCCGCTCCCCTCCAGCCCCCCCTCCTGTTCCCGTCCCGCCACCCCTCCCGCTCCCCCATCCCGCTCTCCCTCCCGCTCCCCCACCCGCTCCCTCCTCCCGCTCCCCTCCCGCTCCCCCAGGCTCAAGCCGCAATGGCTGCCCCTACGCCAACAAGCCCGTGTCACAGACCAGACTCCGCGGCCGAGGGCCCAGGCTGCAAGTTTCGCGGCCTGGGCCGCGGAGGCCCCCTTGGGGCGCCTGGGCAGGGGGGCCCGACTCCCTTTGGGGCGCCTGGGCAGGGGGCGACGAGGAAATGAGGACCTCGGGGGCGCCTGGGCGCCCCTCGCCACCCTCTCCCACTAGGAATTTTCGCGTGACCCCCCCCTCCTGCCCTTTGCAAAAATATGAAATCTGATTGGTGTTCGGAAATGCTCGGGTTGGTTCGCGCTTCGCTCTGATGGTTGCTGATGGATTTTGATGGATTTTGATGGAAATGGTTGATCGTTTTTGATGGTTTTTGATGGGGTCGTGATGGGGTTCTGATGGTTTTTGATGGTTTTTGATCGATTTTGATCGATTTTGATAGATGTTGATTGAGTTTGATCGATTTTGATGGAAGTTGGTTGATCGTTTTTGATGGTTTTTGATGGGGTCGTGATGGGGTTCTGATGGTTTTTGATGGGGTTCTGATGGGGTTCTGATGGGGTTCTGATGGGGTTCTGATGGGGTTCGGATGGTGTCGGATGGCGGTCTTGGATTCGGTGATCGGCCCTGCGAAGTCCTTTGACGGAAAAACGGATT